ATGGCCAATTTCCAAACCCCTAGCCTAAGTGTGGCTGAGGAGAGCTCAGTCCATTCGGATCTTCTGGTTTGTCATCCTGTAAATGATGCTATCATATCCAGGATCCATGTTCCAAATATTGTAAGAGGTGATGATCACGGCCAAAGCCAAGGCAATCATTATCCAAAGTACCATATTGAAAACAACTGAATATTCAAAATTATACTTATATGCAAGGTTATAGGGACTGGCTGGTTTCTGCAATGAAGAAAAGGAAAGAGAAAATTAAATTTTAAGATACAACATTATCCTAATTTAGTGTGTGTGACTCGCTGTCTAGCAAACACTTATCCACAAGTGGCCTACAACCTACTTATACTGGGTGGAACCAGGAAGGGGAGTCTTCAGGGAGAAGACACTGGCACCATGGGTGGAAGTGTAAACTGGTCCAACTGCTTGAGAAACTGGCAAAACCCGGTGTAGCTGAAGGCAGGCGTATCCTGCCATCCGGGTAAGTCCATGAGTGAACCGAGAGCCTGTGCAGCCATCAGCCACACAGTGGGCGGGTATGGGGACGTGGCCGTACAGTGGGCGACACAGCAGTGAGGGGACTGATTCCTGCTCTATTCATAAGTCTGTGTGACTTTGAAAAATAACACTGAGCAAAGAACACAGAAAAATAATGAGGTAGGATTCCATGTGTACAAAACTGAACCAGGCAAAACCAAACAACTCTGTTTTAAGGATAAATACGCACAGAGTCAAACTGCAAGGGAAAGTGACAGGGTGGCTGCCGTGGTCAGGAGCCGAGTCACTGTGGGTGGGGGTGGGGGACTCCAGGGGACAGGGGTTCAGCATTTGTATTCTTTAAATAATATCAAATATGTTACAAGCTGTGGAAGAACGAGCACCTTCATGTTTTTAAAAGAGGAAAACAGGCTTCTTCAACTACACGGGCAACTTGGTTCATTGTGGCTAAAGAACATAAAGCATAGGCCAGGGCTGGGGACAGCTCTGGGGCCGAGTGCTTTCCTGTCCTGCAGGAGGCCCTGGGGTTGGTCCCCAACACTGGAAAAACAAAATGAATATAAAAAATAAAGAGCAGGACTATAACAAGAGACAAAGCTAATGCAGGCAAGCCATGGGGGCCTGGCTTTGAGCCCATAGCAACGAGAAGACAGGACACGGCTCAGGCAGGAAGCCAGCCTCGTGATCAGGGTCTCCTTTAGAAAAGATGACGGTGATGATGAAGTGTACAGGAGGATCTGGGAAGGGACAGCTGAAAAGCAGGGAGACAGACTGGGGTGTGGCAGCGTAGTGAGGTGGCAGAAAGGAGGGCGGGGTACCTGGCAGACGGTGTCAGAGCTCTGCCTGTTCTACCACCCCAGGCCCTGGTACATCGTGGGCACTTGGCAAACGATTCCTTGAACTGTTCTTAGCTGTCCCCTTACGCTAACAGAAGACAGTGACTTCAACTGGAGGAGGGGATGGGGGCACAGACCCTGTGTTTACCTGCGGGAGCTTAGAGTTGAGGCCAAGGACCTCACACCCCGAGACCTTCTTTGGTTTCTATTTGATACAGCAGGCTCACACCCAGCCGAAGTGCACACTGCAGTGATTTTCAGCTCACTGACAGGGTTGCACAGTCTTTGCTGCAACCTAATGTTACACCATCTCCATCAGCGCTCTAGAAATCAAGCCCACGTGAGGCCTTCTTCTCTGTGAACAGGCCAGAGACTGGATGCAGGAGAGTGATGAACAGGGACGACAGGCAGGTGACCAGACGAAATGACATTCCAAGGAATGTTTGATGCCAACTTCCCATTGCAAAGGATTCCTTTGGGTCCCTTACAGTTTTACAAATAAGAAAATTCTGGAGATTTTAGACGGCATACCTGAAGCGCTAACTCAACCTCGTAGATAAAGCAAATCTGACCTCACCTCGCTCTTGCCCCTAATAGCACATCTGGTCATTTGAGAGGCTACTTTCCCAGAAACTCAAGTCGTGCATTAAAAGAACTGATAGGTAAAGGCAGCCTAGCACATCACAGGAGACACAATAATTCAGCTCTACACAAGTGAATGCTCGAACTCCAAAACTGGGGCCTTCTTCAAGATGGCTTCTCTCTGGAGTCACTTCATGTAAACTGGGCAGGCCTACCGTGGCAATATTCAAGTTTTCCCATTAAATTCAAATCTATCTGAAGGCTCTGCTTTCGGGGTCAGCTCCCATTTCTTTCATCAGTTTAGACATTTTCTGTGGCTTCTCCTCATTTGCTGTTGTCTGAAGTCTTGGGGTCTGATTCCGCTATTTGCTGTTGTTCTCATGGTGTATCAGCTCTGCCCGTGGGTTACAATTTCTCGAGTTCACTTTGGGGATCATACCTGGGAAGGCTCCCCTGCCCTGTGACTTGTACTAAGGGTGTACCCTGTCAGAGATTCCACATTTACTTCAGCTACGTGCTGTGGAGGTCTCACCAGCGTGGGACCAGGTTTTCTGTTGATTTCTTGGCTGGGGCTTCCCAGAACGGCAGGTGACACAAATTGGAGTCCCTCACCCACAGGTAGGGGCCCTGCTGTTGAGAACATCTCTACTCCCAACAGACTGGCCACCCGGAGCTCAAGTGGCCTTTGCTGGTAGGCAGAATGTTCACGAGTCTCCCCTCTCAGGAGGGCACAGCTTTATCAAGGTCCCCAGCTTTACAGGGAGGTGTCAGTTCTCATCCCCTCCCCCACAGGGAGTCAGAGGCTCCTCACCTGGTTTCTGTTTTTGGTTTTTTTGGTGCTGGGGATTGAACCCAGGGCCTCCCCAGCCCTTGATGGATATCCTTAGTTTGGCCTGCTTCTTTGCTTACCCTGTAAAAATCTCCTTTACCTTTTGAGAGCTGAGCTATGCACTTAAAAAGGCTTTTTATTTTTCATCCTGTGCTTCTAGATGCCTTACAGCAGACACTGGTGGCAGCTGCAGGGTAAGCAGGGCGTCTGTCTGGCCTGCTATGTGTCTTAAACACAGGAAACCAATCTAAAGCCGGTGTCTCCAGACTGCCTTAGGCAGGCATCAGCTTCAGCCCTCTCACCCCAGGTCTCTCCCTGCCATCTGTAAATGGAGTGACATGGGTCTGAAGGGTACAGAAGTGACTAGGGAGCTGACGGCAGTAAGTGACGAGGCCAACAGTAAATAACGTTCTTGGCTACGTGGCATCTAGAGTGTCTATACCACCGTTTCCCACCCCCAGATTCCCTGAAGCCATATATCTGTCTAAGATCATGGACACACACAGTTTTCCACAGCCAGCAACCTCACCTCTCGCTCTAAATGCTTAAACTCAAAGCAAGATCCATACCAAAAAACTATGGCGGTAAACCAAAATTTTAAAGACCTACACAAGGAGGATTCCAGAAATAAGGGATTTTGCTGCCAAGACAGTGTTCCTTCTAAAAGAGCAGAGTTCATCAGTTGAGAGCACCCCGCCACGCCCTCAGTGACTGCTGATGTCCCCTGTACATACCAATATTGGAACTCTCTTACTGCCCTGGCAGATTTACTTTTATCCCTAACTCAAATTCTTACAGTATCTGATGGTAGCCCCAAAGGACTGAGTATTATTGGCTAAAGCACAGAACCTTGTGAATAATCAATGAATATTTGAACTGAAATTGTTTTTCAGATTTACTGACGGCCCATTCATGTCACCTAGAGGTGACAGAGGATTTAATTTTTCAAAAAAAATCATGCTCACCTTTTCTTTTGCCTCAAGGATAGTTCTTGTCTTCCTCATAAGGGATGTGTCAAATGATTTGACAGTCACTAACTCTACCACTGCATTCCCACCATAAAGATTGTACATGTCATCTGCAAACTAAAAGGAAGTTGTTAACATTGTGATGAATCTCCAATATGTTTTGTCTTCATTTTTTAGTTGTTGATGGACCTTTATTTTTCACTTATTTATATGTGGTTCTGAGAATCGAACCCAGTGCCTCACACATGCTAGGCAAGTGCTCTGCCACTGAGCCACAATCCCACTCCCCATTTTTATTTTTAAGTGACAAAAATTGTATATAGTTATCCCTCAGCACCTGTGGGGGACTGGTTCCGGGACCCTCCTGGGAATGCAAAACGTGCAGATGTTCAAGTCCCTTACATAAAATGGTGTAGTATCTGTAAAGAACCTACGCATATCCTCCCGTATACTTACCAACACATATGAACCTACGCATATCCTCCCGTATACTTACCAACGCATATGAACCTACGCACATCCTCCCTTATACTTACCTACTTACTTTTGTTTTTGTCCTGGGGATTGAGCCCAGGGGTGCATAACCACTGAGCCATATCCCCAATCCTTTTTATGTTTTGAGACAGGGTCTCACTAAGTTGCTCAAGACATCATTAAGTTTCTGAGGCTGGCTCCGAACTCACTATCCTCCTGCCTCAGCCTCCTGAGCTACTGGGATTTCAGGTGTGCGCCACTGTGCCCTGCTTCCGGTATACTTTAAATCTTCTTTTGGTTCCTTATAATACCTAATACAGTGTCCATGCTGTGTTAATAGACTGTATTGTTTAGGGAATAATGGCAAGGGGGAAAGTCTGTACACATTCAGCACAGATGCACGTTTTTTCCCTAAATATTTCCAATCCTTGGTTGAATCTCCAGATATGGAACCCATGGATAGATATTTATCATATGCAATATTTGTTATAAGATATATATACAGCTAGGCATGATGATGCACGTCTGTAATCCCAGAGACTCAGGAGGCTGAGGTGGAAGGACTGCAAGTTGGAGGCCAGCCTTAGCAACTGAGCAAGAGTCTGTTTCAAAAAAGGTAGAGATGTGGCTCAGTGGTAGAGCACCCTAGGTTCAATCCCCAGTACACAAAAATAAATAAAGTACACACACATTGTGGGATGGCTAAACCAAGATAATTAACATGCGTCACCATCATTTTCTGTGGCAAGTCAAATACAAACTCATTTAAATTATGTGTAAAGCTTCTGTTCTTTGACAACATATTCCTACCTACTGGATCATGATATATGCTATGTCTTGAAATAGGCAAGACTAAAGATTTTGATTATGTTGAAATATTCAGAAAACTGTTGAGCTTTAATATATATTCAAATGCTCAAAATAAGATTACTTTAAGAGACTGAACTTGTTGGCATATAAACTGGGGGAAGGGAAGTAGGAAAGGGAAATGAAGAGATGTTCCTAAGTGGTCTATGATTAATCACAAATGTCTACAAAGATTTACGCAGGAAGCCTCACTGAGGAGTTATAGGTGAGTAACGTGGAGGGCAGAAGAGAACAGGCGTTTGTTATGCATTGGCTGCGTGTCTGCTGTGCTCGGTTTTCTAGTTCAGTACCTGATAGTGTTTAATGGGCACAGAGTTTCAATTGGGAAAGATGAAAACGTTTTATTAGAGATGATGACGGTTGCAGAACACAGGACTGTATCTAATGCCACTTAAACATGGCTACAATGGTTACATTTTACGTTATATATATTTTACCAGAATAAAAAATATATATCATGCTATAGTTATCAATCATTTCCTAATACTGTCCCTGCCAGCATTAGAAAGAGGTAGCCCAATATATACCTTTGACCCTATTTTATTCTTGGCCACTATAATTAGAACACCCTCCAAGCAGTCAAGACCTCACTCAATGGCATTTCATATGGATCCCCAGCACCACAAACAACCCCCACACACAAGAAAAAGTGTCCTCACAAAGCAGATTTTCCCATTAAGAGCAAAAAGTGAAATGTCACATTCCGACCTCGCGTCTGACACTGAAGTTTACCTTTTGCAGAGCATCAACAAGGATCCTAGAAGCATCTCTGAACTGCTCAGAGTCTTCCCCGTAAAGTTTCCCAATTTCATCCAAACCTGCTAGCTCCAGTGAGTACAGATCAGGAGAGTGATCCTTGGCTAGATGCTTATGACGGGACAACTGAGGAGGACAAATAAAAAAAGGTGACAGATAACGTGTGGCGTATAACAGCTGATTCAAGTTTCACACCTAAATAAACTTGGCTACCACAGTACCCCAGCTGCGCCCACGGCCTGTGGTCTAAAATGGTGGTAACGGGGAACTGGTTTAAATGGGAGTTTCTGATAAATCCCACCCAAGTCTTATTTTGGGGAACACTTACAGAACTCCTTGAATATTCAATAAAAGTTCTTAACAAAATTGTTAGGTTTTTTTTCAAAGTTTTTTTTTTTCTTTATATATGACAGCGGAATGCATTACAGTTCTTGTTACACATATAGAGCACGTGTTTTCCTATCTCTGGTATATATATATAGCATATTTACACCAATTCGTGTCTTCATACCTGTACTTTGGATAATAAGGATCATCACATTCCACCATCATTAATTACCCCATGCCCCCTCCTTCCCCTCCCACCCCTCTGCCCTATCTAACAAAATTGTTAGTTTTACACCAGGTGCGGTGGCATATGCCTATAATCCAGCTACAAGCGAAGCTGAGGCAGGAGGATTATAAATTTGAGGACAGCCTGGGAAACTTCATGAGACCCTGTCTTAGAATAAAAAAAGGTTGGGCACACAGCTCAGTGATAGAGCACTTGCCTAGCATGTGTGAGACCCTGGGGTCAATCCCCAGCCCTGCACACAATTTTTTTTTTTAAACACAACTGCTTAGTTTAAAAACTCAACTATGGGGAAGCACACAAGGAACAGCTGGTTGGACCAGTTTGATCCCAGGAATTAGTGAGCCATCAGCCGCTACTCCCCACAAACCCTCCCTTGCCACTTTCACAGATCCCCAGCGCTGAACTTCCCGATTCCTCAACCCAGTACTGGCTGAAAAAGTTTAAGAAACAACTTCACAAGCTACCAAAGAGGTAAGAATTTCTATTTCAGTTACAAGGATGAGTAACTCAAAAAAAAAAGAAGCCCTTCAGACAGATGTATTGCTTCTCGACTTGGTTGACAGTACTATTTATCCCAACTGTTACTTCTTGTTTTTCAACACAAAGCTACAGATGTAGGAATCAATGCCCAAGCTGGAACTCCAGCCAGGGTATTCTTATTCCCAAGACTATTTTGTGGAGGACATACTGTCTCCTCTAAAAGGAGAAATGCAAAAATAATTTCACGCTCACATGAGTTTAGAATGCCCAGTACCACTACTAATTTCTCAATTTTCATGGGGTCTTAAATCTAGACATTCCTTTCTTTTATTCTGCATTTTCAGGGATTGAATCCAAAGCTTCACAGCTGTTAGGCAAGTGTTCTATTACTGAGCTACGTCACTGGCCCTTTTTATTTGTCGAGACAGGATCTTATTAAGTTGCGCACGCTGGCCTTGAACTTGTGATTCTCCTGTCTCCGCCTCCCAAGTAGCTGGGATTACAGGTGTGTGTGCACTGCCATGCCTGGTTTAGGGCATACATATCATGCTTTCCAACTGGGTTCACTATCAGTGAAGGAGTTTATAGACACCAGAATAAATGGAACTGAAAAATTCAAGCAGCTTACTTACCAAACTTGAGATATCATGTAGCACTTGCAGTTCCGAAAGAAACAGCAGGTCAACCTTCAGAGACCAAAAAAACCCAAAATGAACATTATTTTAAATATGCGTTACAGGTCTATATTTGCCATTTATCAAGTAAAATACAGGCTATTACAAATATTAATCCCATAAGTAAAATTATATAATTTCCCCCCCTTTGGTAGGTTCACTGCAACTGACAAGGCGTACACAGGCGAGGGTGCAGCTGGTGGGAGAGTGCTTACCCAGCATGCCTGAGGCCCTGGGCACCACCCACAGCACCAGAACAAAACTGCATGTAAAACACTGCTTCCTAACAGAAAGGTAGTGGCCATCTCTTAACACAGTGACTGCCACTCAACAGCTATATTTCTGACAGAACCATGATCCATCATCTGAATTCCACTGTGTTTTTTCCTCAGGGCATCAGGATATCCCGCCACGGGCCAGCATGCTCACTCCCCTTGAATACTCTCCATACTGGACAATGGAAAATAGTGGTTCTGGTTGCCCAAAGTAGGTAAATGGTGGACGTCGTCACAAAGGTGGCATGCCACGTGATTACAAGGGTGCAAAAGCAGACGATGAAGCTGAAGGACAGCAGTCAAAGATGGGGGTGCCCCTTCCACCGCAGTGTCCAGAATGAATGAGAAAAACCTGGCAACACGTTGGCAGCGGCCATGATGCCAGCTCCCACATTACCAGGTGGACACAGCTCCTCCACGGAGACACTGCAGTTCCTGGCTTGTGTGGATGAACAGGGGCAACCCTGCCACTAGAATATAACACTACTACAGCTCGATTCACAGCAAGGACTGGTATACTCATGAGATCATTAAGATGATTACACCATGAGCCAGGTGTGGTGCCGCATGCCTGTCACCCCAGCAACTCGGGAGGCTGAGGCAGGAGGATTCCAAGTTCAAGACCAGCCTCAGCAATTTAATGAGACCCTAAGCAACTTTGTGAAACCTAGTTTCAAAATAAAAAGGGCACAGGGCTAGGGCTGGGGCTGGGGCTCGGTGGTAGAGCGCTTGCCTGGCATGTGTGAGGCCCTAGGTTCCAACCCCAGCATCACATAAAAAAACTAAATAAACAAAATGAAGGTCTTGTGTCTACCTACAACTAAAAATATTAAAAAAAAAAAAAGGCTCCAGATGTGGCTCAGTGGTTAAGCACCCCCAGGTTCATTCCCCAGTAAACACGTCCCCCACCCACCCCAAAAAAGAATATTACACCAGTGGAAAAAACAATTTACTCCAGCAGTAAATCTGTATGATTTTTTTACTTACTTCATTGTTCCTACTCAGAGAATTGAGGGGAAGTGAATTGAGAACAGAGTTTTCTTGAAACAGGCGACTACGGAGCTGCCGCAATGTGACTGAAAGGTCTTCAAACACCGAGTTTGCCTTCCCCACCATATACACTCTCTGCAACGAGAACCCCAGACTGAAGTCACCCACAGTCTACAGTCCGCTCAACACAAGGAGGTCTGACAGTATTTTTCATAAAACTGTTTTTCAATTTTCATTAAGTCATGAAAGCTGCTTTTATTTTTTTTAAAGCATCTTAAATAAAAACTTTAGCACTTACTTCCTCACTAGGAGCCAACTGCAAAACTACGGGAGTTTCTTCAGAAAACAAGGAGTGAATGGAATTTGCGACGCTGTCAAGACTAAAAGGAACCGCCTGCGATTTAAGAATAAGACCACAGTTATTTTCTGAATGAAAGTAGGAAAAAAAGTCATTTAGATGGTATTAAGAAAGAAGCCTGGGGACTTTGGTTTTGGTACCTGGGGCACTTTACTGCTGAGCTACATCCTCAACTCTTTTTAATTTTTCTTTTGCAGCAGGGTCTTACTAAGTTGCTGAGGTTGGTCTCTAACTTGTAATCCTCCTGCCTCAGCCTCCTGAACTGCTAGGATTACAGACATGTGCCACAGAGCCTGGGTGGCACCGGTACTTTTTATGGAAATTTGGACACAATTTGGCTACAGAGGATTAAACAGCCCCCTAGTGAGCAGAGTCTGTATTCCCAATGTGACTAGATGAGATACAACTCAAACATGCACAGGACACTATGTAGCACAAACCATTTTCTGGTGGTCATTCATACTTGAAGCAGCAACACATTTGGTTTCAATATTGATTAAACATGCTACAATGAATGTGTAAAGTATTTACTTGTATTTAAGAGATTTGAGGAATCGAGGTACTGAATTTAATTGAAAGAATTAGACCTCTTTTTCCATTTTGAAAATTTTTAAATGGATAATAAGATTTAGGGTTCATCTTCAGATAGACTGAAGACTCTCAGACAGGCTATAAAGTATACTCCAAGAATTTAAGGCTCTTATCTTAGGAATGCATGAAGGTATTAGTAGACGGAAATACCCAACTCTGGCAAGACCTCCTTATTTACTTGAAATTTGTATCAAAATATAACAAGCAATCCATACTCATTGTTGAATTCATTAGGAAAGTATGAGTTCATGTTGGAGACATTTTATCCTGATCCACAGCAGAATTTTAGTGGTTATTTTTTTGTTGCTTTCTTCACTCTGTTATCTGGTATAAAAATGTAGTAACAATATGTCATCACTCTTGATTTTAAGTAAGAGTATGTTAATAATTGTGAAGGTGTTAATATTTTTAATTTTTTATATATCTTAATGTTAATTATAAAAAAGAACTATGTACATGTTATATTATCAAAATATATATAACACGCAAACAATATAGTGTACATATCCTGGGGTAACAACTCAATAAGCGTTTATACAAATGTATGCATTCATGTAACCCATGCAGACAGGAGGTAGAGCGTCATCAGCACCCGAGAAGCACCCACCTCCACCCCCAGGGGTGACCAAAATGCTGGCTTCTATCTCCATAGTTGGCTTTGTTCAACATTTTTTTTTCAAGGTCTAATTAACATTTATGGAACAAAAGCAGAATATACATATTTTTTCAAATATCCATGGAGACGTTACCAAAGTAAACCATATCCTAGGGAGTGAATAAAAAGTTTTTTTTTTTTTGGTTCTACATTATTTTAAAAAATAAATTGTAGTAATTTCCCCACAAAAATTATGTTATTCCTGATATTACTTTATTAAAATAAGCAATACAGCAGTGTTTCTGTTTTAGTGGAGATTTTTTAGTGATTTTTTTTCCCAATAGTTCCCTTTACTACTTACAAGTTCATGTTTATAAGGAGCAAATTAATGCTAATGTGGTGCAGGCAGGCAGAAATCAATGTGATTATATAAATCTCACTGATGAAATCCCAGCATCAAAATTAAGCTTATCAATTTTATACTTCTGTGAAATGAAATCAATTTTTCTGTTACTCAAGATGCACATTAACTCTTCCCAAAATTCTCTTAAAATGAGTTTATGGGTAACTGAGGTGGGGGGAAGAATGTGCAAACTTGCAAAAGCACACTGTGACCAGGCCACCACCCCCCCCCCCCCCCCAGTCACCACAAGTGCTTTCCTTTTGGGATCACAGTCACCTCCTCAGGCTTTGCAGGGAAAACACAAGCAAGTGACAAACTTCCCAACCTCATTTCACCTAGTGAAATGGCGCTTGGGTCAGGAAAGTTGAAGGTAAATGCTAACATGTCCCTAGCAATCGCATAGGAGAAGCGAATGAATCAGATGACTGCCAGACTGTGAAGGAGAAGAAATAGTTATTTAGACAACCAAGCTCACCAAGCAAGAAGCTGAGCTGCTGAGAACACAGCGACTGTTTTCTGCCACCATATTCTAAGGAAAGGCCCGTTTGTCCAGGAATTTCTGTATCTACAGGACTTGAAATACTAATTAAAACAGCTAGCTAATCAAATGGAAGCTTCATTAAGTGGAATTCTAAGACACTCTGGTTTTAAGGTTTTGTGGGGTCTGCCATCTGAGCCTTCTGTATCGTTCCCCATCTTCTGCCAGGAAAAGTATTCTAAGCAGCCAATCAGGGGCAAGCAATAAAAGGAGCTCTCTTCACAGCTTCTCATGTAAAGTGAGACTAGTCTGTTTTAAAATGTTTGGTTTTGGATTATATGCTAATAAAAATCTTGCAATGGCATTTTGGTTTTTTATATATTTATTTTAAAGAAACTCCACAATGATTTTCCCAGGAATCACATAATAAATGACATTAATACTCTTGGTGAAAATGTTCTGCCTTCCTATCTTTATTGTTTCCTTCCTTCCACTTTACTTGCATTTACTATGAAACTTTTTGGTTTCTTGTTTTTTCTTTTTTTAAAATATTTTTTAGTTGTCAATGGACCTTTATTTATTTTTTTATCATTTTCATTTTTAAAAAATTTGTTTTAATTAGTTACACATGACAGTACAATGATCTTCACATATCATACATTTGGACCTTTATTTTATTTATTTTATGTGGCGCGGAGGATTGAACTCGGGGCCTCACGCATGCTAGGCAAGCACTCTACCACTGAGCCACAACCCCAGCCCACTTTTTGGTTTCTTTAGCTTATTAATTTCCAATCTTATATAACCTAAATTGTCTAGTATGTGCATCTTAAGCTATAAATTTCCCTTTTACACTGGGTGTGATGCAACACCTGCAATCCCAGAGGCTCAGGAGGCTAAGGCAAGAGAATCGCAAGTTCAAAGCCAGCCTCAGCAACTTAGCAAGGCATCCGGCAACTTAGCAAGACCCTGTCTCAAAACAAAAAATTTAAGAAGGGCTGGGGATGTGGCTCAGTGGTAAAGTGCCCCTTGGTTCAATCCCCAGTACCAAACAAAACAAAACAAATCCCTTTTCTTACCACTTCAGCTGTTCAGCTGAACCCCACAATTTTTAAATATAAGGCTCATTATTATTCAGTTCTAAATAATTTGGAAATTTCTACAGCGATTTCCTCTTTAACCCATGAATTATTCAGGAGTGCATCTATTACAACTGTCTTTCTTGTTATCTTTTTAAAATAAATGAATTTTCAAGAATTACATATACACAGAGTTGAAAGAGACAAATAGTTCTATAAGACATTTTATGAAAAATGTTTGCCTCGCCCCCCCTTTCCCATTCCTCTGAGGCACTCTCAAATCCTTTTGTTTTTACCACCTTCTTTAAATAAGATGCTTATGTGACTACATTTTGATTTTCAAGTGTAGGCATTATCTATTTACTGTCCATTCTAGAAAACAAGGACTTAGCTCTCCCGCATCACCAACCATAAACTCATCCTCTTTCCATCTTTCAACAGTCGCAGCAGAATTGTCCCTGGATTGGTGTCGTTTCATTCTTATGACTCTCTATGTAATATTCTCACCCAGCCTCACACTAGGAAATCGCCACTTTTCCAGCCCACAATGGCAATGAGGGGAAATCCGCTCTCATTCTACTCTCATTCCTTGGTAATGACAATGTCTTTTCTCTCTGAGAGCTTTTAAGATTTCCCATTTCCTTGATGATTCTTCAATTTCACTACACCTAGGTGTTATTTTGGACTTGGCCTCCTGGATATTCGGTATGCTTTAAATCTGCAGTGTCACATTTTTTGTTTGTTTTTATCATTTCCAAATACTTATTTTATTCTTAATTGACAAATAATAATTGTATACAGTTATGGGGTAGAATGTGATGTTTTGAAACATGTTTACAAGGTGGCATGGTTAAATATTAGGCTAATTAACAACCTCATATACTTTTGTGTGTGTGTGTGTGTGTGTGTGTGTGTGGTGAAAACATTTAAGACCTACTCTTTTTTTTTTTTTTAGTTGATGGACCTTTATTTTATTCATTCATTTTTTATATGTGGTACTGAGATTTGAACCCAATGCCTCACACATGCTAGGCAAGCACTGTCACTAAGCCACAAGCCCAACCCTAAGACCTACTTTTTTTAGCAATTTGAAAATGCAATTCATTCAACTGCCTGTAACCTCAGTTGCTTGGGAGGCCGAGGCAGGAAGATTGTAAGTTTGAGGCCAGCCTGGGCATCTCAGTGAGATCCTCTCTCAAAATACAAAAGAAGGGACTGGGGATGTAGCTCAGTGGTAGAATATCTCTGGGTTCATTCCCCAGTACCACGGCCCCCTCTGCAAAAACCCACAATGCATTATTATTTATGATAGTCACTATTTTGTGCATTAGACCCCTGAAGCATGAGCCAGCAATTCTACTTCTGGCATATGTCCCAAGGAGTCGGAATCAGCTTGCCAAAGAGATTTCCACACTCCATGTTGACTGCAGTATTAGTCACTATAGCTTTGATATGAAAGCAGCCTAGGTACCTACCCATAAGCAGAAAATGGATAAAGAAATGTGGTAGGGCTGGAACGTAGCTTAATTGTAGAGCACTTGCCTAGTATGCAAGAGGCCCTGGGTTCAATCCCCAGCACTGGAAAAAAAATTGTGGGAGATATATATATATATATATGTATATATATATAGTGAATTACTATTCAACTTTAAAGGGAGGCAGACATCCTGTTATTTGTGACAACACAGGGGAACTTTGAGGACATTATGTTAAGTGAGTTTCTCAGCAGGTCGAATCTAAGCGTATCCATGTTGTCTCTCTGACCCCGTTGTTGAGGAGGTACTGAAAGCGCTGCCTCCCCTCTCGCCGCCATGTTGGATCCCCTCTTCACATTATGTTAAGTGAAATAAGCCTGGCACATTAGAAAACATACTGCATAATCTCACATATGAAATCTACAAAAAAGTTGAACTCATAGAAGTAGAAAGAGAAAGATAGTTACCAAAGGCTCGGTAGGAGGGCTGGTGGATGGAACAGGGGTATGTTGATCCAGATATGTTTTTTGGTTTTGTTTTGGCACTGGGGATTGAACTCAGGGGCACTCGACCACTGAGCCACAACCCCAGCCCTATTTTGTATTTTATTTAGAGACAGGGTCTCACTGAGTTGCTTAGTGCCTTACTTTTACTGAGGCTGACTTTGAACTGGTGATCCTCCTGCCTCAGCTTCCTGAGCCGCTGGGATTACAGGCGTGCGCCACCACAACCGGCTCAGATACTTTTTTAAGGTATCATTTTGTTATTATTTTCAGATTTAAATGCACTGCGTTCAGAGAGAGTGGTTAATATGATCCTGATTCTTTATCATTTGTTCCGATTTGCCTTGTGGTCTAGTACATGCTTGTTTTGTAAGCATGCCACGTGTGCTTGGAAATCGGCCATAGGAAGTCTGAAAAACAAATGCCCAGAAAATCAGCATTGCACAGACCACAGTCTTACAGTAAAATGAAAATTTTTAAATTAGAAATTATTAAAAAAAGAACCCAGGGCTGAGGCTATAGCTCAGTGGTAGAGCGCTTGCCTTGCACACATGAGTTACTGGGTTCGATCCTCAGCACCACATAAAAATGAATCTACAACTATCTACAACTAAGAAATATTTTAAAAAAAAGAACCCATACATTTGGAAATGAAAAAAATTTCTAAATAACTCATCACAATCTAAATTCTGAAATATTTAGAATATCAACAAACATATCACCGATCAAAAATGTCTAACTACTGCCTCGCGTGTCTTAGTTTCTATTGCACAATTTGAATACACATTCTAAAATGGCTTTTCGGCTGATCTAGGAAGATGAGGTGTTACTGTGGCTGACACCTTTCTCGTGGCATTTTGTTTTTTCCTTCAAGTACTTTCTGACTTTCCTTCAATTATTTATTGTCCCCGTGCTGGGGAGACAAGCCAAGGCCTCGCACACGCTACGTAAGTGCTCTACCACTGAGCTACACCCTCGGTGCACACCTTCAATTTTTTATAACAGCCAAAGGAGGTGTCCCTACAGGGTGAGTCATGAATTCAGAAGGACCCTCCCTACCCCTGTAATTCAGATTTCTCTGGGGGAATCTGGGGCCCATGGCCCAGGGCGGTAAGCCAGCTCCTCTGCAGCAGCCCCAGGCAGCTGGGGTTTCATTAGTCCCTTTCTCAAGAGCAAGTGGACAGACAGCATTTTACAGCTCCTCACCTTCGGCAGGAAACACCCTTTCAGTGTCAGCTCCTGCTTACCACGGTGGCCTCTGAGTTTTCTATTCCTATCTGGCACCTGTGTGCACCCCTTTCTTGTTTTCAGGGTAGTTGTGCTCATGAAGATGTTTTGTCACTTTTTTTTAATATTTATTTTTGAGTTGTAGTTGGACACAATACCTTCATTTTTTTTTTTAAAGAGAGAGAAAGAGAATTTTTTTATATTTATTTTTTTTTTTTAGTTTTCAGCGGACACAACATCTTTATTTTATTTGTATGTGGTGCTGAGGATCGAACCCAGCGCCCCGCGCATGCCAGGCGAGCCTGCTACCGCTTGAGCCACATCCCCAGCACTGGAAAAAAAATTGTGGTTTTTGTTGTGTGCACCATCCACTATGCCTGGCCAGTTTACTAATACCTTCATTTTATTCATTTATTTTTATGTGGTGCTGAGAATTGAACCCAGGGCCTCTCACATGCTAGGCGAGCGCTCTACCACTGAGCCACAACCCCAGCCCTGTTTTTGACTTTTTATCCAGCACGTCCATGTGCTTGCAGTGGACAGAGGGCCTCTCCCATCAGCTCATCGTTGCCTGAAAGGCCAGTGAAGGAATAATCGAGCCAGCAAACAGCCTTTTGTCTCAGAGGGAAAGTTCTGAAGGGAAGGTGACAGGACAATGCCCAAGAAAATGTCAGAAGGACACACCCTCAAGTGGCTCTCTTTTAATGGCACTCTTTCTCAAGCCTGACCATTCTAAGCAGGGCAACTTGTCTATCTCTTATCTTAGAAAGAATTCTCATCCATGGAGAATGGCCAGGTTTCCATAACTTGATAATTACCATTATCTTTTTAATGAAACTGTGTTCTCAAAAGAATTTCGAAAGAGAGTGCGTTTTAAAGAAATTGTGTATCCAAAAATGAAAAAAAAGTGTTTAGAATTTAATTCATAATGTTCGCCAGCAAGAGAAAATGAAAAAGTGTATTCCTCTGGGCTGGGGCTGTAGCTCAGGGACAGAGCACTTGTCTAGCATGCTAGAGGTCCTGGGTTCCATCCCTAGCACTGGCCCCTCCCCACAAAAACTTTTAGTGCGAGATATACTCACATTCTCCAAAGGGTATGAGATGACACTGCCTGGAGGGAGAGCCAGCTTGTCTACTCCCTTCACCATCACCATAATGGTAGCCCTGGGCCGATGAAACAGGTTCCCCACAGCAAGTCCTGGCCAAGAAAGATCCTAAATGTCAAAAGGCATAAAATGGTGCTTAATTATCAACTCAGAAAAACATCGCCCCATAATATCAACTAAGCAGAGTTAAGGGGTTCTGATGACCCTGGCCAAGAAAATTCACGGGGACAGTAACCATTTTATAAAATAAATAGTAGCTGCAATCTCCTAATCAAGGATGCTGATTTCTACCTTCTTCATTTTCTTAAGATTCTTGATTTGAAACAAAGTCTACTAGGAAATCAGCTCAAACTTGCTGTGGGAAAAAAAAAGCAGGCAAGTAAACACAACACAAGGACTTTTTAAATTCCACATTGCAAAACATTTTCCTCTTCCTATAACCATGGACAATTTCTTCCTCTAATCATTTTGTACCCTTACATATGGAATCACTTTTCTCTCTCTCAGTGACATAGCAAGACTGTCATTACAAAATTCTCTTTAGACTAAATACAAACAAAATTCCTTCTGAAAGTAACTCATGTCAGTTTACTAACAATTTTCTTTTTTTAATACCAGGAATTGAACTCAGGGGAACTCAATAACTGAGCCACATCCCCTGCCTTTTTTTTTTTTTTTTTTTTGTATTTTATTTAGAGACAGGGTCTCACTGAGTTGCTAACTGCCTCGATAAATTGCTGAGGCTGGCTTTGAATTTAGGATTCTCCTGCCTCAGCCTCCCAAGTTGCTGGGATTACAGGTGTGCACCATCCACTATGCCTGGCCAGTTTACTAACAATTATTTCTAAAGGTAATTTTAATAGCCAATTGGAGTCAAATTTAAGGTTGTAGGGTTTGGAGTATAGCTCAGTGGTAGAGGACTTACTAAGATGAAGCCCTAGGTTCCATCCTCAGCACAAAACAAAAAAAAACCCACAATATATTAAGGTTGTAAAGAATTTAGGTACAACTTTCATCCTTAAACATACAAATATGTTCACCCTGGTTGCCCAGAGACGACACAGAGCTCAGGGGTTCCACCCTTCGGCCCGGCAGCTCAGCAGTTCCCATGAGCAGCTTCTTGCAAGCACACGAAAGATCTAGAAGGAAAGTTCCTTTTGGTGACTGAAGATATCTAGGGACCACATCAAATTCACCACATGCATAATGAGGGAGGAGACAATAAGAAAGCAAAATGCATCTCTTTCCTTCTAAGCCCTGAGCTTCAGATTTCTGGGATTGCCTGGATATAGACGCCCTCCACTACAATCATGTAAGCAGCCAGTGACTACAACACATAATAGTTTCAGACTAAGAAACCAAGGTCCTAGGCTGCCCAAGGACTGCATGATTACCACGTTATTTTCCTAGTCTCAGACAAGATGTGTATCTAATATTATCATTCATAGCAAATCTATCACCTGCACTAAAGAAAAGATATATCCTATTAATAGTAGAATACCTCTGTTTATTTACTATGTGTCAATTAAAAATAAAGATATGTTTAGTCAGGTACACTGACGAACGCCTGTAATCCCAGCAGCTCCCGAGGCTGGAGGCAGAAGGATCTCGAGTTCAAAGCCAGCCTCAGAAAAAGCCAGGCCCTAAGCAACTCAGTGAGACTCTGTCTCTAAATAAAATATAAAAAAGGGCTGGGGATGTGGCTCAGTGGTTGAGCACCCCTGAGTTCAATCCCTGGTACCCCCCACCCCCAAAAGATATATTTAAAAAATATTTAAAAGCTAAAAAAAAAATAGGACAAATGCATCATCTGGTATACAAAGAATTTTTAAACGATGACTAAATAATTACATGGTAAATAATTTATAATAATTTTGTTTCAGAAACTAAGCTTGAAGCACTTAACAAAAATCTCCCCAACCAGAAATGAGCTTTCAAAAACTTTAGTAATATGCAGGGAATATACCTATATATGTTTGTTACTTCCTTGGCCTCTTAGAAGAAATCAGCAAATGTGTTTTTAGAAAGAATTGCAAGCATTTAAAAATATATACATACTTCTTTCACGGAGAAGCCCATGGATAATGCAGCCACATCTGGGATTCTTTCTCCTGGTATAGGCCAATTTCCATTTCGGAAAACAACAGACCCTGGTGATCTTAATATACTGAATTCATTCCCCCAAACCCCTGAAAAGAAAACAGATTCAATGAATCATCAGCACCATAACTCTTTTGTACCCACCTTGAAAACTGTTAAATATAATACATGTTTCCCCACCATCCACCGACTTGGCATACTAAATTACAATTGACGAAATGCTGAATCCTCAATGTCAACAAATTATTTTTCAAAGTTTAAGTTCAGTTAGATGCATATGCCTGTAAATCTCAGCAACTCGGGAGATCAGGGCAGGAGGATTGCACGTTCAAGGCCAGCCTGAGTAACTCAGTGAGATCTTGACTCAAAACAGAAAAAAGAGGGGAGGGATGGCTAGGAATGTAGCTCAGTGGTAGAGTGTTTGCCTAGGGTGCGCAGGGCTCTGGGTTCCAGCTCCAGTACCACAAAAAAAAAAAAAAAAGAAGAAGAAGAAGAAGAAGAAGAAGAAGAATTTAAGTTCATATATTCTTTTTTTTTTAATGGTGCTGAGGATTGAACCCAGGGCCTGTGCATGCAAGGCAAGCACTCTACCAACTGAGCTATAGTCCCAGCCCAAGTTCATATATTCTGCTCAAACAAAAGTACAACCACAAAACAGGATTTTCCTAATGATGTAGACGCCTTCCTACAAACAACACCTAAAAGGCACATGTGACCATCTGGCAAAAATTAGCAGTCAGTGGCATTTCTCCAGAATTTAAAAACAACAACAACAACAACAAAAAGTAAAACCCCAGGGGCTGGGGATGTGGCTCAAGTGGTAGCGTGCTCGCCTAGCATGTGTGAGGCACTGGGTTCGATTCTCAGCATGTAAAAATAAAATAAAGATACTGTGTCCACCTAAAAAACTAAAAATAAATATTGGGCTGGGGATGTGGCTCAAGTGGTAGTGAGCTCGCCTGGCATGCGTGTGGCCCGGGTTCGATCCTCAGCACCACATACCAACAAAGATGTTGTGTCCGCCGAGAACTAAAAAATAAACGTTGAAAAATTCTCCCTCTCTCTTTAAAAAAAAAAAAAAAAAAAAAGTAAAACCCTGGAACAGGCTAAAAAGAAAGAAAACTTGAAATCTCTAAATTATTTCTACCCTGGACCCTCTCTACAAAGTATGAATTCATAAAGTTTCTAGTATCTCATTATAAGACTTTAGTATGTTCTTATCTCAGGATAGATCAATGTCCTACATGCAAACCTAGTGAAATGAGAACTGTCAAGTGGAGGGTGCGTGTGACCAGTCACAAAATAAAACAATTCAGACTTTAGAAACAAAGTCCATGAGGTTTTTTCAGTCAACCTATCTGGAGGGTGTGAACAGGTATTCTGTAATGATTAAGTCAACTACTCCAAGAGTATGGTGTCTGGATTTAAAGATAAAGGCTAATTGAATAAAGGGACCATTTTTATAAGCCCTCCAAGGCTAAGGCTAAGGTTTTTGGCTTCTTTTTTTTTTTTAACCTTTATTTTATTTATTTGTTTTTATGTGGTGCTGAGGATCAAACCCAGGGCCTCGCACGTACTAGGCGAGCGCTCTACCGCTGAGCCCCAGCCCCAGCCCCAGGTTTTTGGCTTCTTCTCCTGTTATGTATTAACCCAGTGGAGTCTAGTTTATACAAGGCAAGGAACTAGTGGAAAGTTTTAGGTTCTTATGAAAAGATCAGCTGCAAGTCCAAAACAAATCTTGGCTCCTATAGGAAGATGAGACTTTAATAAAGCAGGGCTGTTGTTCTCTTGACTTAGAGAAGTACCATTTACAGGGAATAGGAATAAAGTTGGGAGGCGCCAGTAAATGTCTTGGTGTTGCAGTATTGACAGTAAATAAAAGGCCTGGTTTCAATTCGGCACAGCAGCCAGAACAGGGATTTCCAAATCGTTCTAGCCAGAGGCAGTCCAAAAACCAGCAGACTGGAAGGGTCACTTGTAACCCACAGACATCTTGGTTCGCTAAACTCTAAGGAAAATGGGGCAGCACAAGACCTATGCTTTCCAAGTACCATTTGCTTTGAAGGAACCATATTTTCACCTGGAGTACCTTTGTTTTGAGATGTGGCCCTACTCACTCAACCCTGCAAAAGCCACACTATTTAACTTTGGGTCACCTTTGTAGTTAGATTAACCTCCATGGACATACAACAAACTCCTTCAGGAGGCTACCACTTTAGGAAACCTTAGAAATAGGCTCCTTATACAGAGAAAGGTCACATTGTCCAAACTTCTGCTCACTGCAGGTATCACAGCTCTGGGACGCCTGGCTGAAAGCCACCCATACTTGACTTGAACATCACCAATCATGAGGAACCCCATCGCAATTTACAAACACTGTATTTACCTGAAGTCAGCTCCACTGTCCCAACATTCTAGTCCTTTGAAAAGTTCCTCCTTGTACTGAACTGAAATGGGCTCCCTGACCTTCAACTTCTTGAGTTATCACTCAGTCTCACCCGATTACCTTGTCCCCAGAAAGAAGAGGAATTCCTTTCCTCATCACCAATTTATCTGCACAAGCCCCTCCCTGTATGTCCTCTCCCTCCAGACATGAGGGCAGGGATGGCCCCCTCCACTCTAACATAGGCTTGTGTTCAGCCTTCTTAGGGACTTTCACTCATTCACCTACAAAACGATTCATTCAAATGTTAATTTTTTTTTTTTTAGAGAGAGAGAGAGAGAGAGAGAGAGAGAGAATTTTTTTAATATTTATTTTTTAGTTTTCGGCGGACACAACATCTTTCTTTGTGTGTGGTGCTGAGGATCGAACCCGGGCCGCACGCACGCCAGGCAAGCGCGCTCAGCTACCGCTTGAGCCACATCCCCAGCCCTCATTCAAATGTTACTAAGCCACTATTCTGAGACAGACAACATATCAGAAGATAGGCGACGATATGGTGGTAGGCATAGAAAGATGTCCCTGAAGAAAATCAGCTCCGTGAAGGAGGGATTTGCATCTTGTTCACTCAGTATCCCCAGGGTAAGAACGGTGCTTGACAAATTGCTACTCAATACATACTTGCACAGTTAATGAGTGAATGAAGTCACCTCAAACGACCAACGTTCCCCTCTCAAAAACATGCTGAGGGTGTTCCCATTCTAAAATTAAAATGACAAACAACAACTCCAAAACCAGCTACCAGCCTCTGCTTCCCTTCAAAGGAAGAATCCTAGGACTGGAATCAACCATGACCTGCTTCTCTACTTCACCTCCTGGACGCTACCCAGCTACCAAGCCCAGAGTTCCGGATCCCTCCACCACTCACACAGCCCGCCAAGTCCAAAAGACAATTTTCAGCCCTTAATTTACTGAACTTCCCGAAGCATCTGAAATGGGAACACCCTCCTTGAAAATCTCCTTCCTTGAACTTCACGAAGCCAGGGTCCCTGGTTTTCCTTCAATCCCTCTAGTTGCTTTCCTGTTTCTCATCCTTTGAAGCAGTGATGGCCCAACTTTTTAGATTTCAACCCTTTCAGCACAAAGATGGAAGGAAGCCCGTACATATGTGTACATGTATGTACACGTGGGTGCACGCGTATGCTGCACACTTGTACTAAAATGATAGGCTACAGAGCTGGGGATGTAGCTCAGAGGTAGAGCACTTGCCTAGAATGCTTGAGGCCATTGGGTTTAATCCCCAGAACTGTAATAATAACAATGATATTAATACTAACAACAATAGGCTATGTATTTGCATTACATTACAAAGCACACAGAAATGAAAATTTCTAATAAGATTGATACCTGTATAGTATTCTTCCCAATCTAATCATGAGAAAACATCAGTCAAACTGAGGGACATAAACAAGTGACCATTACTGTTTTCAAAAAGATTACTTTTTTTTAAAGTTCTAGTACATTCTCCTAACATCTAAATGGATCACGTAGCATATTCCACTTCGGAGATCTGAGAGCTCCATTCTTGACCCCCTACTTTCCCATTTTAAGAGCTCTCCCTGGCTGAGCCCATCCACTCCTAGGTTGTGAACACCAGAAATGCACTGACGCCTCCCTGATTTTTATTTCCAGCCTAGATCTCCCTTAGGTCTGAGACCTACATACTCAACAGTCCGTTGACATTTCCTTCTAAGTCCCACCTGCCCTTCAGACTCAACAGGTTCAAAACTGGATCTACCATCTTTCCACATGATTCTCCTGCATTCTTTGGCTCCAAAAAGGATGCCATCCTCTGCCCAGTTGCTTGAATCAGTTGCCTTTAAATATATATATATATATATATATATATATATTTTTTTTTTTTTTTTTTTAATTTAAAAAACAATTTTGGATTTGGATTGAACCCAGGGGTGTTTAACCACTGAACCACATTCTCAGCCCTTTTTATGTTTTCACTAAGTTGCTTAGGGTCTCCCTAAGTTGCTGAGGCTGGCCTCAAACGTGATCCTCCTGCCTCAGCCTCCCGAGCTACTGGGATTATAGGCACGTGCCACCATGGCTGGAACTTTTAAATCCTTTTGCAGCACCACGACTAATTGAACCACTGAATTCTATTGACTGCTTTTTCTTATCATCTCCTGAATCCGTTTCCCTCAGTGTCCCTCACCAGGTTTGCTAGATCTGGTTGCCTCTATGACCCTGTTTTCTCATCACTTTTACAAAATACAAATGTGTTTGTCCACCTCTCTGCTTCAATGTCCAGAGCCTCTGACGCAAATCCAAAACATAATAGCCCAGGGGCCTCACCAACCTTACTTCTGGGATCTCTCCAACTTAGCCCCTATACATTCTTGCCTCAGCAAACTATTTGGTCTTTGCCTTTCACATGTCTGTGCTTCTGTCTAAAATGCCTTTTCTTTTCTTTCCGTGTATTTTCTTTTCTTGCTGGGAATGGAACCTGGGGTTTTATGCATGCTACACAAGTGCTCTCCCACTGAGTTACATCCCCAGCCCTAAAAATGTCCTTTCTTTTCACTCCAACCTTTCCCATATTTGCCCTGTGAGGTACCTCCCCAGTCTGGGTGAGAGGCTCCGTGTCCTTCTCTCTAAGAGCTCCACCATACTATGCTATGATCTATGAATGGATGGAATCCATCAATAAGAAAAAAAAGGGGGGTTCTAGTTTTGTCCTCCTGGGTATCAATGACCAAATCAACTCCATCTTCTACATGACATCCCTTAAATTCCATGTGCTTCACTCTTCACCTTTCCTCTCAAGGTTAAATATCTGAATTTTTTTCAAATACTCCTCAGGACATGATATTTATAACTCTAGTTCCTTAGTTCTCTCTCCAGTTCTGTAACCATGTTTTAAAGGATTTTGATTTTCTTCTCAAATAGAGAAGTTGGAGCTCTTGAAGATGTTTTCCATTAAATTACCCTTAGTCATTGTGGAAAATAATAATTTAACCTCATCTGACAAGACCCAGCAATGCAGAAGTTCTTGGTTTGTAGAAACTAGATCATTCTAGTAAGGAAAGCATGTTCAAACCATGTACAGAAACAATTATTTGATCTCAGACTCAAAACCAAACCAGAAAACCTAAACCTCACTGAATCAAAACAATGTCATTAAAGCAGAGAATTTCAACAGATGTTTTGTTTAAAGCACAGTATTAAAGGAAAGATTTTCTTAATTTCAAAAACTGAATTAAAATAAAAAATTCACCCAAAGTATCTTCTTTTCTTGTGTGTGTGGTACTGACAATTGAACCTGGGGGCACCACTGAGCTATATCCCCAGCCCTGTTTGTGCATTTCTTATTTCAAGACATGGGCTCGTTAGTCATTAAGACAGCCCTCCTTGAACTTGGCAATCCTCCTCCTCAGCCTCCAGAGTGGCTGGGATTAGGTCTGAGCCACCATGCCTAATCCAAAGTATCTTAATGGACAGATCAGAATGACCTTTTCAAAGTCAGCTAATGAAAAGAAACAAAAAGCTGGGTGTGGTGGCACACCTCTGTAGTCCCAGTGACTCAGGAGGCTGAGGCAGGAGGATCACCAAGGCCAGCCTCAGCCATTTAACAAGACTGTCCCGAAATAAAAAATAAAAAGGGCCGGGTTTGGAGTATAGTTTAATGGTAGAGCGTTCCTGGGTTCAATCCCTGGTTTCACCAAAAAAAAAAAAAAAAAAAAAAAAGAAAAGAAATGTAACTATTATCAACACACATCCCTGAGCACCTCCAGAGATGGAAGAGAACTACCGATTTCAAGAACATCACTGGTCTATACCTCCCACAGAATTAAATTGTCATTCCTGACGCAGGACCTCCCACAGCATAGGCACAGACCTCCCACTGGTTTTAAAGTGACACACGGGAGACCAGGGCACCAATTCCTCCAAGTTGTTCTCAACTTAGGCTCTTGTTGCCCACCGTGTGCATTCCCTGGATCGGCCCCCATCACACCACATTCTCCCATGCAGCACTGCCTTTGCTACAACACACATTATGGAAAAGGCCCGTGCTTTGGAGCCAGCTGGTCTGGGTTCAAGTCCAGCTTCACTACTTACTGCCTCTATGGTGTTGAATAATCTATTTAGGTCTGATCACTCTGCAAAACGAGGACGACACCCTTTTCTGAGGATTGCTGTCAAATGCAATGCATTACCACATAATACACAAGTTGAGAGGCCAAATGTTCGCTGACTTCCACTCTTGCTCAATGCTTAGGGAACCCAGGTTCCTCTCAGAAAGCTGCCATTGATTTGACATGTGACCCTAAGGATGTGACTCACATCCCAGTTTCCAAATCCTTAAAACTGGGAACTGTGACAAAATATGGAGAGGTGCTTTGTGTTCACCTGGATACAAATCACATAAAATAATGACACCATCCCAGTTTTTACATCCTGAAACATACATGAGTTAGAGCCGTCACCATTATTGATGACAACCACTACATTGAAGACATTAACCGAATGCAAAGAATAATAATAAAGGCAGCAGCCAATGGCAGCTAAGGAATCGGTCTTTCCTTCTTCGCAGCGGGCTGTGGTTCACCAGTCCATTGAGAAATGCGCCCGACCTCCGAAGGGCCTCCCGAGCCGGAAGAGGAGGCCAGGCTGATTGGAGGTTGGCGGCACTGCGGGAGGACGCGCCTTCCTCAAAAAGGCGGAGGGTGGAGGCCGACTCCGAGAACCCCCCACGGAGCCCGGCCCTGGCCCTGGACCGTCGGTCCCTAAGGCCGCACCGCTACGAGCGGATCCCGGGTAACAGCCCTGAGAGAGGCGGCTGAGGCGAGGCCGGCCCTGGCTGCCCGCACTGCGGCATCCGCCGGGCAGCCGCCCACCCCCGGCCGCCCGGGACCCCCGAGCCCCGCGGCGCAGGGCTTCCCAAAGCACGTCCCGCACGTCCGCCCCGACTCCTCACCCGCCACCGACAAGCACAGGATCACGGCGAGCACAACCATGGTGCCGCGGCGGCTTCAGCAGCGCAAGGCGACACTGGGAGGGCGGGTGGGATTCGAGCCACCACCGCAGCTTGAGGGGGTGACACGCTTGATATCGCTCCGATTCCGAGAACTCGCCCCTTTGTAGCGCCGGGACGGCTGCCGCCTTCTCAACCAATGGGCAGCTACGCCGCGAACTACGGGAGAGACGTAGCAGGGAGCGGCCAGCCTTTTGGGCGGGGTATAGAATGATGGATGGAATGCCCTGCCAATGGTAGCCAAGGATTGAAGAGCTGGGCGGTGCCGACCTCCTGCCGGCGATGACGGGTCATAAGATGAAGGGTAAGGCAGGGGGTGTTGAGGGGCTGACCGAGCCGGTCGCGGGGTCGCGAGAGCCCACCGGGTGAGGCTGCCTCTTGAGTGCCGACTTTTTGTTCAGTCTCCGGCGACGATCTCCAACTGGGGGGGGGGGGGTCTGTCTTTCCGGGTCGTGGGCTCCACCCTGCTACGAATGCCAACTGTACAACGGCAGGTTCGGGTTTCGCTTTAACAAGTACCCAGATGTTGAGCATCTGCGGGAAAAAAGCTAGATGCCCCTGGGAATCCCTGCTCCCAAGGAGGGGTGTTGGATAAAATACAGGACTCCCAGAATTGAATTTCAGATAAACAACAAATATTTTTTAGTACGTCTCGAACATTTTTATGGGACATACTAAAGGAAGTATTCATTTTTTTTATCTGAAAATCAAATATAACTGAGCGTCCTTATTTTGATTAGCCGAATCTGGCAGCCCTGCCTCCGAATACTTTCCGAACTACCAAGAACGGTGGGACGGAACATCCATTTTTCAGTTTCTAGTCTGGGCAAGGTGTTCTGTGCCGATATAGCAGAGCTAGACTTAGTAATTGGACCAGGATCTTCCCTTCCCACAGCTTATGGTCTTTAGTCCCTACGGTGTGAAGCAGGAAGTGACACTGGTTAGAAAATGATACTCCTGCTGATGACCTTGACAGATGGATATGATTTCAGTATGCGAGGAGGTAGGGAGCTTCTTCCAGGTAGGGGAAACTCTAAAGTAAGAAAGCCTCCTCATTAACTGTTCAGCTTGATAAAAGAAGAGATTGTATGAGGGAAGGGGATGCCAAGCTAAAACTTTAAGTTAGGGACATATTTATTAAGAATCTTGAAATGTACATGAGAAAGAACTACACTTTTCAGGAAATGCATAGAAGGTGGTTGAGTACTGTTCAGTGCACAAATATAAGACAGACTTATTAGGAGAAGAATGTCTCTGTTTTCTCAGTTCCCACTCTTTATTTTCTTCTTAGAATTAACTTGGAAGGAGAAAAGAGACAGAGAGAGACAGACAGACGGACGGATGGACAGGCACGGGCGCGGGTTGAAAACAGCAATCCCAGGAGTTTCCCAGGCAGCAAAACAACCCAAGGAAAATTTGCCCACCTCAAAACTGGAATCAGAAGATTCCCCAAATACTCAGCCTGAGCTTTCTAGAACCCATTTTGCTTATCAAAACCACTGTGTGTGTGTGTCTGTTGCAAGCACTCCACCACCAAGCCACATGCCCAGCCCCAAAGCCACTCTCAGTTTAGAAAACGGACTCTGGAGTTTCTCCCTCAACCTCAGGAAACTCTGAACTCTCAAAATTGCATTTTTTTCCAGCAGAGAATTTTCACAAATGTGACTTAAATCTGAAAAAGCAAAGATATTTTGTCCATTGAAAATGTAAAATTATGAGAACCAAAATGTCTAAAGCAGCTAATTTCCAAAACATCAACTCTAACATGACTAGCTTGAAAAAAATTTTTTTAATCATTTTTAGGCATGATGAATTCATTTCTGTGCACATCAATTGAAAAATCCTTCTTGCTTCATATCCTAGAACGGTTTTAAACCAGAGGCCCTTCAAGAGCTTATCTAAATTACCCTTATTTAGGGAGACAATCAGCTAAAAGTGGACCAGAGTTTCTGCAGTTTCATCTAGCCTAAAGAAACAGGGGAAGGAGGTTTTTTTTTTCTTTTTCTGTTCTTAAAAGAGTTCTAGGACAATCTTATTTCTTTTAATTTGAGGAATAGCATCAAAATTGTATAGATAGGAATATAAAACAAATCTCCACCCTGCAAGAAAACCTCATAGTGTCACAATTTTTCTTACTCTGTTTGTCTTGAGAAATAACATAGTCTTTTGGGCTAAGGGCAAATAGCTTATCCTTACATCTAAAGTTCCCTTCCCGCTTTCTCAGAGGACCATTACTGCTTATTAGAGCCTCAGAATTTAGCAAGAAATGCTCTGGAAGCCTTCTCCTCGGTGCATAGATTGAGAGATTGAACCTAGGGAAGTGCATATGTTGTCAAGATCACACTGTGAGTGGTCAGCAGTTCTGTTTTATGATTCAGTCTTTTTTTTTTTAAAGAGAGAGAGACTGAGAATTTTTTAATATTCAACATCTTTATTTTATTTTTATGTGGTGCTGAGGATCGAACCCAGCGCCCCGCGCATGCCAGGTGAGCGCGTTCCCTCCTGAGCCACATCCCCAGCCCATCAGTCTTTTGTTCTTTGGTACCAGGGATTAAACCCAGGGACACTTAACCACTGAGCCCCATCCCCAGCCTTATTTTGCAATTTATTTAGAGACAGGGTCTCACTGAGTTGCTTAGCACCTCGCTAAGTTGCTGGGGCTGACTTAGAACTTGCAATCCTCCTGCCTCAGCCTCGGAAATAGTTGCTGGGATTTCAGCCACCCCCATCCCCGCCTGGCTACAATGGATGATGTACTGTGTGGTTAACTTTTCCTTTGAGGCATTAAAAGGTGCATATGTGTTTGCAGAAAAGGCCTATTTGGCAGCTCAAAAAAAAAAAAAAAAAACAACCTTCTTCCCCTTCCCTTGCTGCCACAGGCCAGGGGCCTGCCAGCCATTGCCCTGAGGGGAAGACTCAGAGGAGAAAGGGAAAACAGAGATGTCAATTTCTTGGCTCTTGAATTTCAAGACTAAAGTTCTGAATGTGAGATTTGAAAGAACACACATTTTGGTTGGCGTCCCTAATTCTGTTCCCTTCCCCAATTCATTCTAGCAATGAGTTCTGAGTTACCCCAGAGAGAGCTTGGTGGCCTGGCCTGCAAACCAGCCCTCTGGAAGCCCTGTAGAGGCTGAGGTCATGCTCTGCCCCCAGAGCATGCAACCTCCCACTCAATGATAATAATTATTATTAATGAAGAATTTCTGCTCTTCAAAAAACTGGGGAACATTTTTTTTTTTTTTGGTACAGAGGATTGAACCCAGGGGTGTTTTACCACTGGGCCACATCTCCAGCCCTTTTCATTTTTTATTCAGAGACAGGGTCTCAGTAATTTGCTTAGGGTTTCCCTGAATTGCTGAGGCTGGCCTTGAACTTGTGATCCTCCTGCCTCAGCCTCCTAAGCCACTGAGATTACAGGCATGCACCACCATGCCCAGCTCTTGGAAATGATGTTGACCAAATTATATGGTTATATTGTGTGTGCATACAAATATGTAACAACAAATTCCACCGTTATATATAATGATCATGCACCAACAAAAATATGGAAAAAAAGGATTTCTGTTCTTCAAAAGACATCATATGCAGTACAGAAAGGTGGGGAAGGGAGAGGAGGATAGCTGTACAATGCAGAAACCTGACAACACTCCCTCAGTCAGGAGATCAAGGTCAACATCAGCAGTGATAAACCACATTGATAGTATGTATCCGGATATGATATGATGCTTCACCTGTGTGGTCTTCCACCCCCATGAGAGAAGTATGGGACAAATTCTAGTAGAGGAGCTTTCTACAAAACACCTGATCACTACCCTTCAAAACTGTCAATGTTGCCAAAGATAAGGAAAGTCTAAGAAACTGTCACAGCCAAGAGAAGCCTAAAGAGAAATGATGATGGAATGTAATGAGGTGTCCTGCTTGGGCTACTCCAACAGAAAAAAGGAAATATGAATAAAGTATGAACTTTAGTTAATAGTAATACATCAATATTGGTTCATTAGTTGTGACAAATGGACCACACTGACGCTAATAATAGGGAAGGCTGGGTGTGAGGTATGTGGGAAATATCTGTATTGTATTCTCGATTTTTCTGTAAATGTCAAACTGTTCTGAAAAAAAAAAAACACTATAAAGTAAGTGAAAATATGAGCCAGAAAATGGGAAAAGATAAGTTGTATCCAGAATATATGAATCACCCTGTGACTCAATAAGAACAAGACAATCTGATAGAAAAGTAGGTCACAGACTTTCACAGACCTCACCAAAGAGGAAATCAAAGGCCAGTAAATACATATTAAAAAAAGATTCTCAACCTTATTATTAGTTAGGGAAATGCAAATCTGAAACCACGAGATAGCACCACACACCACTAGGTTGGCAAAAGCTAAATGCCTGGCCATGCCAAGCGTAGGCAAGGATTGTGAATCAGCTGAAACTCGTATTGTGCTAGTAGGAGTATAAATTGGTGCAATGGTATCCAAGAATATTGCCTAATCTATTAAAGTTGAAGCTATTCCTAGCCTATGAGTCAGCTGTTCAGTTGGAATAAATACCACACTAAAATGCATTTACATACGACAGAATACATGTACAAGAATGTCCCTACCAGCACCGGTCGTAATAGCCCCAGAGTGAAAGCAGTTTAAATGTCCATTAGCAATAGAATGTCTGGGTGTGGTGGTGCATGCTTGTGATCCCAGTGACTTGGGAGGCTGAGGCAGGAGGATCACAAGTTGGAGGCCAGCCTCAACAACTTATTGAGGCCCTAAGCAACTTAGTGAGACCCTGTCTCTAAATAAAAAATAAAAAGGGCTGGGGATGTGGCTCAGGGGTTAAGTGCCCCTGGGTTCAATCCCCAGTACCAAAAAACAAAGCAAAAAATAAATAAATAAATAAAAATAAAGAGATTGTTATGTAAAAATCAGAATAGTGGTAGCCTCCAGGGTGGAGAGAAAACAGATATTTCTGAAACACACATGCAGCAGGATTTAGGGGTGCCAGTCATTTCTTAATATAGGTAGTGGTTGCTACACTAGTGTTCATTTTATATGATTATCCATATTCTGAACATTGATGTGTATTCATTGTGTGTTA